TGTCTCCCTGACAGCTCTTCGGCAGGGTACCAACCAAGCCGCCAACTTCACCGCATACACCGAGCTGAAGGCCTTCCTTCAAAGAGTTCAGCCCGAGTACAGTAACACGCAGCTTCCCTCATACCAGACAACGTTCATCGGATTGATCTCCGGTGCGGTCGGTCCCTTCTCAAACGCCCCCATTGACACCATCAAGACCAGACTCCAGAAGACCCGCGCTGAACCTGGTCAGTCCGCCGTCAGCCGAATCATGGTCATTGCCAAGGACATGTTCAAGGAGGAGGGTGCGCGCGCTTTCTACAAGGGTATCACTCCTCGTGTGATGAGAGTTGCTCCTGGTCAGGCCGTCACCTTCACCGTATACGAGTACCTCAAGGGCAAACTCGAAGAGTCAAACTGGGCCTTCGTGGGCGGCAAATATGAAGAATAAGCGCAGTCTGTCTTCAATCGAGGTTGAGGGGGACCGGCCGCTGCGTGTTTTCGAAAGCATTTGATCCCATGAGCATGGTGGCGTTTTCGATTGCATTGCGATCTCACTGCATTATTTTTTTGGGTTATTAGCTTTTGATTTGATGATCGCACTCTGGGCTTTGGTTATGTGAGAGGCCTGTCGGTCGACAACAGCCCAGTTGACTTGTATATAAAGTTTCTTTTTTTTGTCTTTTGTCTTGTCATCTGTTAGTATACCAATTTCTTTGACATCTTGAATAGAATCAAAAATCAGAAAGATAAACAGATGATGCCTGTCGCGCAGATGACTAGATGCCAATAAGCAACTATCTACGATTTGTTCAAGAAGGCCTTGGAGAACAGACCACTTGCAACGCCCTCACTCTAGCCACTTTTGGCAATCGAGATACCCCGCTAAACACCTCCTCCGACTACACCGCTTCTGCCAGCTGTAAACACTCCCTAAACCTTGAGAACATCGCACAAAAGCAGTTGATAGGTCATATAGTCCTGAGATACCAGACCACAACTGCACCTACTCAAGATGCAGTCAGGAATTACAGGTAAGCGCACTTCCTCCAGAGTCCGAACGCCTCGGTCAGCTGCACTGCACTACACTGCATACTGCATGCCCAGTCCAGATTGCAGAGTATAACACACTGACCTGCCTCTCAGTCTCCTCCGAGCTGCAAAATGCATTCAATGACTTCGCCTCGGACTCCTCCATCTTCTGTCTCCCTGTAACCATCACAGCAGAGAGCCTGACTCCCCTCTCCCCTATCCGCTTCTCCTCCCCCAACGCATTCTACCCCTCTCTGTCGCAACTCTCGTCCGTGCTCCAGCCGAAAACACCCCTCTACCTGCTCTTCCGTCGCCCAGAGTCGGGTTCCTCGTCCCTCTGCGCGTTGACATACATTCCCTCCAATGCCCCCGTCCGCGCCAAGACCCTCTTCGCCTCGACCCGTGCCACGCTGGTGCGAGAACTTGGCAGCGAGAAGTTTGCGACTACCATCTTTGCAACAGAGGAGGAAGAAGTCACCAGCGAGGATGCGTGGCGCGAGAGGGATGCGGAGGAGAAGGGGTCTGGTGGCAAGGGAGATTACAGACGGGAGGATTTGATGGGCGAGAAGGAGCGTGAGCTGGAGGCTGTGCGGAGGGCGGAAGAGGAGGCTAGAAGCGGTACTCCTGGTAGGGATATTGGGATTGGCGGATCATTCGCGAGAGGTGGTTTTGGGTCTGGTGTTCAGTCTGGGATGCGGATGACTGTGGACGATGATGCGAAGACTGCTCTTGAAGGACTACAGGAGGGTGGGCTAGTGCAACTGGTACGTTCTCTGGAGTTTGAAGTGGATTTCAGAAGCTTGGTATCTTGTAATCTGTCATTGATTGCTAACTACGAGCTCTGCGAAATACAGGCCATTGACATCCCGTCGGAAACGTTCAAGCTCGCTGCTGCAGAGTCCGGTGTTGACGCGAACTCCGTCCAGACACACATCTCTTCATCCTCGCCTCGGTACACTTTCTATCACTATCCCGGAACCGATACCGTTTTCTTCATTTATACCTGCCCGTCGGGCTCGTCGATCAAGGAGCGCATGCTTTACGCAAGCTCTCGGATGTATGCCCTTCGTGTAGCTGATGAACAGGGGCTTAAAATTTCCAAGAAGGTATGATTTGCGTGACAATCACATAATTCTTTACCATCTAACAATGCGACATGCAGATCGAGGCATCTTCTCCGGACGAGATCTCAGGAGACAGATTGCAGGAGGAGGTCCAGCCCCATCAGAATGATGGACTGAGACGAGGATTCGCCAGACCCAAGCGGCCTGGAAGGTGAATTGGCTGTAAGGCTTTTCCGGGCACACTCTTAGAATATTTAGATAGCCCCCGATGTCACTGGTCAGATATGTCCACCACTTCTAAGCTCTGGAGTATGACAGTCGCCCGGAAGCCGACATATTTTGCGGAAGATGCTTGCTAAATGCGAGAAATATAATCGTAGGGTAGCAGACGCCTTGCCAGAGACTGAGTAAGGCACTGCGATCGGTCAAGGCACGGGGACAACGAGGAAAGGCATGCCGCGACATCAATGATTTCGAAAACTTTTCTTTTGGTAGAATAAATCTGTCCTCGAACTTCCCAGGTTGATAATCTTGGGACACCCATCTCGATCCTTCTCTAACCTCGTACACTCAAAACAATAGAAGGCATCACTGATACCCTCGCCACCGCAGACAATGCACTTGTTCTGGTAATTTCCGAAAGAGCATTCGTCGCAGATCCGGACAAGCGTCGTAGGTCGCACGTAGGAATCGCACACGGGGCACTTGCCGTCGCACTTGTCACAGAGTCGGCCAATGGAAATACCAGGCTGCTTGCGGCACATAACGAGATCTGGGTGATGGCGAGACATGGTTGCTGAATTCGCGCCGTCGGAGCTGTATTGAACAAGGAGGTATGTGAAAAAAAGGCTTGGAAATGCAGATTGGTGAATCTCGCCACTAATCCAAGTGATGAAGATATTATCAGTAAGACCTTTCTGAGCTTCGAGTTCTGGGCGTAGGTTTCAGGTGGTCAGGAGGGAACTGGTAGTTTATCAATCAAGAGAGACTTGATAGAAGGTGTTGGAAGGAGGAGAAAGAAGATTCCACGGAACGCCTTTTGGTGCAGCAGATCAGGCAAATGGTCCGTGCACGGGAGGTTGGAGTCCCGCCGTTGATATCGCGATTGGACTTACGATAATGTTCGTTCTCATTTTGGGGAATTTCGACGAGACAGTGGAGTGATTCGAGCGCACTCTCTCGTTGACACTCTTGTCCTTGTCATTACGAGACGTCTTGAAGCGGTTTCCTCACATTCTTTACAACTACTTAGAGATCGTGTCACGAGTTCGCTGTAACAGATATGGCAGAAGGGTACGACATCTTCTATGCTCTTACTTTTGTGCACGTTGCTTTCGCTAACTCGACGTTGATGATTACTTAGGACACTTGCTTCTGCAGTTGCAGTGCCTGATCAGGACAACTTGGCTTTATCTCCAGATGCCAGCCTCAAGCGAAGAAATTCATCCACTACAGACCCAGATCCAGATAGCAAGCGTCGCCGACTAAGTACTCAAGACGAGAAGGACCATCCAGTGGCGGATCGCAAACCTTCGTTCTCAGACAGAGCAGATCAGAGGCCAGACCGAAGAGCCAGTCGGCAAGCCAATGGACGCGATGAGGAGCGCAAGCGCGGACAACGACTATTCGGAGCACTACTCGGGACGCTTTCGCAGAGGTCCAGCACTGCAGCTCAGAAGCGTCGAGCGGACATTGAACGGAAACAACAGGATAAATTGAAACTTCAAGACAAAGAGTACGATGAGTTGAAGAAGAAGAAAAGGGATGAGCGAGCCGCACTTCGCAAGAAGGAACAGAGATACTACGAAGAGGAATCGGTAAGTGCCCTCTTGCCTCTCAGTTTACGAGCTTGCGAGCTTATGGTTGATGTTGAAAGATGCGAACCCGGCACTCGAATTTGTTGGCAATGGCACATTTTTTGAAGACGAAATCGGAGCCAGTATTGGTATGTTACATGTTTCCAAATGTCTTGGCTTCGGCATCGTGATTGAATTAATTTTTCTTTTCATTGCAGTACTACAAGCCATGGCAACTGCGGCCTGAGGACGAGGACTTAATACGCCGCCAGATTGGGGAAGCAGAAGCTACTATCTCCCAAGAGCGCGCTGAATTCGAAGCACGCTATCCGCCTCAGGAGGGAACTGAGTCAAAGGAGGAAAAAGAGACACAACCTGGAAATCAACAAGAAGCTCCGCTGCCCGACGCGGATGTCCAGGAGCCCAAAGACACAACTCAGGAAAGCTCAGACAACGCGAACGTTGAGACGAATCAAGACCTAAATACTGAAGCTGCTCTACCCGAAACTGCGCCTGTCAACGACGTCCCGGTATCAGTCAATCATAACGAATCAGATGACCATCGGGCAGCTGATGACGATGGGGGAGAGGTGGTCGAGGACAATGAGGATACGGTGATCTATTGATATCATATTGGGCCATTTCGTCTTCTTGATCATCTTCTACAATACTCTTTCCTAATGATTATAGTGGTTAGTGATCATAGCAACCACAAGAAGTTGAGGGGAAAATCAGCAGTAACGACAACCGAGGCAGTTCGGCGGCAAGAGTTGGACTTGGCAACAGACATTCTATCGTTCATGGACACAACCGAGTCTTTTCCTCGACACAAAAGAAATGATACCAGGAATTCCTTGATCTCTTGGACAATTCAGTACTCCGTAATCCAGGCACTTTCCCCATTCTTATTTGTAGCCTTGTCATTTCTGTTTAAATGTCCAATACATTCCGGCAGCTTCGAACGCACGTGACAAGACAACTGGCGGGGATCCATAGCTTCGTTGTACATAAATAAGAGCAAAAGTCGGTAGAACCTAATCTCAGGGTGGTTCTCCATCCCTTCTGCAGTGGGCACATTCGCATAATTCAAAAGTCGGATATCTACAACTGTCTGATCGGCGTTGCAATCATGATTGTTGATAAGATCAACGTCACCGGCGACCCTCGGGTCCAATTCCGTCAAGCAAGGGTCAATGGCAAGCAATACGGTATGCATCTTGGCACTTCAGCACGTGTGCACATTTTATAGCATGCGACCCGGCACTCCTATCATGATGGACAGATTATGCTGGAAGCGGCGTCGCAATCATAGCCTGACCGTTCACTAACTATATCTTCAGGCTACCTTTATAGTGAGCCAAAATCAGGCACATACAGAGCTACCATTTTCCTTGTCAGTCAGCTCTTGCTCCCCTACATACACTTGAGCGAGTGGCTAACTGTTTCTTAGCTCCATGGCTTCCCAGACCTATCGATGGGATGGCGGTATCAAATCCCCATGCTGATCGATATGGGACTGCGGGTCATTGCTCCAGATTGTTTGGGATATGGACGAACAGTATGGACTTTGATAGAACTAACTATCTCGTTCTAATATTTTATATGCGCTGACTATGTGGTCTAGGATGCTCCAGAGGATATTTCGCTATACTCTCACAAGCAGTGCGCCGATGACATCAAGGAGCTAGCATCCCAACTTGGCGCCGACAAGATCATCGTAGGAGGACATGACTGGTACATTTCTCCTGACTTCCAGCTTTCAATTCTGAAAGCGCTTATGACTGAGCATCTTTAACAGGGGTGCTGCATTTGCGTACCGAGTTGCCCTCTGGTATCCAGACCTCGTTACTCATTTGTTCACCGTCTGCGTACCGTATAACCCCCCGACTAAGAAGTTCTATCCTTTGGAGGAATTTGCAGTGACGGTTGCGCCGCATTTTGCCTATCAGTTGCAGCTGAAAAGCGGAGACTTAGAGCCAGTCATTCGTACAGAAGAAGATATCAAGAAATTCCTCAGCGCAATGTACGGCGGTCGTACTGACAAGGGAGAAGTAGCCTTTGACGCCGGCTTGGGAATACTCCCGGACAAAATGTCCCAGGTGAAACCATCGAAGCTGCTCAGTGAGGAGGTCGGTCTCCCTCCTCTTTTTAATGATTGCGCCTCTGTGTTTGATTTTCAGGGTACTGATAGCCGGGAACCTCAGGAGCTTAATTATTATGCCAAAGAGTTCTCGAGAACTGGCATTCGGGGTCCACGTAAGACTCCACCTATCTCCCTTGCCCCCAGTATTTTGTGCAATTACAGGACAGATCGCTAACGAGACCACAGTGAACTGGTACCGGACGAGAGAAGTAAACCACAAAGAAGAATTAGCCATCCTCGACCGGCGCATCACAGCCCCGGTTCTTTTCATTCAAGCACTCAGAGATGCCGCCCTTCCGGCACACCTGGGCAAGGGTATGACAAAGACCATCCCTCATTTGACCTACAAACAGGTCAATACATCTCACTGGGCTCTGTGGGAGAAGCCCAAGGAGGTGAATGGGATGATCGCTTGGTGGCTGGAGGAAGTGGTATTCTCCGATCCTCGTTTGTTCAAGTTGTAAAGGTCGCATAAAGATTGCGATGTACAGATTGTATACGACAGTATATACGTTTGATACTTCGATCATAACATGAGAGGCGTTTGTGGTTTACTTTTGGGTTGCGGTTTTCGTCTGCTTGCACAGCCAAGGTCATTAACTTGTTCAAATGAGTATTATGGCCAAACTTGGATCTCAAGACACTGTGAAAAACTGGGCCTAATGGATTTACATAACTCTGGCATTTCATCAATACGACGGGCATAACATCAATAGCCAAAAGTTCATTCATAAGGGGCAGCAGGGCAAGCAGGGCATCAAGAACGGTGGCGGCGTCAGTAGTCAAAGACCTGAGTTTCAACATGGCATCCGACTTTGTCTAATCGGTCAACAAACGGTTGTCCTAATGTTGCTGGCGTTACTATGCCGCATCGGGACACCTTCTTCACTCGCTCCGTATCCTCCAAGATGACCATTGCTGCCTCGGCAAGCAGCAAACCAGTCAATGCATACATCGACCCTTCGTACCTGAATTTGCCGAAGACACGCTGCGGTGCTACGGTCTTCTGATCAGCCGTCGCTACTGCACGGTACTCGACGCGGTCGTTGACTGAATCTTCCTTGCGCGGCCCATGACCTGGGGCGTAGACGACCTTCCGCAAGAGCGCGCGAACGGGAGGGAGGATCAGGAGACTCAAGCCGACGATGAAGGCAAAATGAAAGAGCACGCCGACAAGTGCATTTCTAACTCGGACTAATTGCCGGAAATAGAAGCGTGGCCCGTAGAATTCCGGCATCAGGGTACTGCTGCGGTGCACGATGGTGATGTCTGCTATACCCGATGGGGATGTGGTGAGAGTACCCAAGTCACGCACAGACCTAACTCCTAGGATCTTGTCTACGAGCGGCTCACTGGGAATATTCTTGGGGGGCTCGGAGGCGGCCAAAGCGAAGGGGTTCGTGGATTTGAGGATGTCGGAGAAGGAAAGGGAGTCGAAGATTGTTAGTACCGTATTTAGGGTGCCACCGCTTGCTCCGGAGCTCCTGCATAGGATCGTTAGGGGATCAATTTAATTGCATGGAGGTGAGGGTGCGCATACTTCATCTCCTCAATTGCACTGGTCACCTCTTTCGTATCGCAGGAGAGATCCTCCCGAACTCGTTTAACAAGAGACCAGGCTAAGATATCTGCTGGGGCGCTTTCAACACCGACAGATGGGATGATCTAGAATAAAGTCAGAACAAGTCACAGTGCTTGGCAAGTAAGGTGTAACTGACGATAGCTCCGTTAGACTTCGCAACTTCGTGATACTTCTCGATGATTTCCCTAACCCAGGGTGTTTCTCCAGTGCTGCACAATATGTATCTTAGTTCTCGTTCCACACATTCTCTCTCCAATAATACTACTATAGCACTCACGCATCCACATAATGAGTCCCATGCTTGGCGCACGCTTCAACAACAGGAGTGCTGTACAGGTGGTAGGGGCCCACGCAGTTGATAATGACTTTGGTCCTCTGGACGAGGGGGTCCAGTTCTTGCCGATTTAGCTGAACTGCCCGAATCTCTGAGGGTGCGTCAGCAATGAATGCATTGAATGCTCTGCCTTCAGTTACCTGGCTCGGTGCGGTCAGGATTGAGAGTCTTGAGCTCCTTTGCGATGTCCTCAACCTTTTGCACAGAGCGACCTGCTAGAGCCCATTTCAGGTTCGTCGGAAAGTTCTTGGCAATATGCTCTGCGCAAAGTCTCCCAGTGTAACCCGTCGGCCCAAGAAGAACCAAGTCGAACTCCTTGTTAGATTCCATGTCTGTAATTATATGAGGGCTGTCGGACCTTGACGATAATGTACGATTGACTGAAGGCTCAAGAAGCTTGACTATGTGATATCCGATGAATACAACTATAAAGACGCACAAGGGATATCAACGAACTCCCCAAGCACCGATTTTGAATAACTCCTAAATGGTAAACACATGGGACATCCGCGCGTACCCATTTGTTATCGTCATACCTCGGTCCTATGGGCTAACCGCAAGTAGAAACGGCTTATCGGACGTCATGTGATGATAAGATTTATTCGAAACAGCAAGCCTTTCAAGGCAGAGGTGAACTCCTTGTGGGACCAGGTGTAGAGGCGATACCAATAACAATTGTGGTCAATTCGACTGACGACAGGACAGAATCAAGCCAGATAAGCCATATGTACTTGACCCCAAAACCATGAGTCCTACGTTAGTCATGGCGATACTGTATGAGACGCTGGTTCTTCTTGGGTTGCCCTACTCCGGAGACATTCAGTAGTAGAAATGCTTGCGCATTAGCTTTCTCAAACGACGAATGAGTATATGATGCGATTTGCTGGAATTGGGGATAATCAAGTCGAGAGATCTATTTGGCCTCCCTATCATTTATCGATCTCTTTAGTTTTCTGATGCTCTACTCCGTAGAAATCATACTTCAAAAAGCATTTAGTATCACGTGATTGAATTTTCGCCAAGAGTTCGAACCCTAAGCGAGCCCACCCACAACCACTCTCTCAAGAAAGCCGCAGCCTCGATTTCGTCTTACCGACTGTATCCATCTTTGACCTCAACAGCCGCACACGAGACAAGATGACGAAGCGCACTAAGAGTGAGTGATTTTGAACGAGATAAACCACGGAGATAGGATGAAAAAAGGATAGAAATACTGACCAGATACTTTTAGAGGTCGGTATCACGGGTAAATATGGTACCAGGTATGCTTTTCGCTCTCGCACCTCGAAATCGATCTGAAGTCGTCTCCGTTTCGCTCTGCTCAATCGAAACGGAATCGAAAACGCCGGAAAGTCGGATTCAGGGGAGCTAGAACGGTTGGTTGACATGGCTTGTTCACTACAGATACGGTGCCTCCCTGCGTAAGCAGGTGAAGAAGATGGAAATTACCCAGCACGCCCGCTACGTCTGCACCTTCTGCGGAAAGAACACCGTCAAGCGCCAGGCTGTTGGTATCTGGGAGTGCAAGGGCTGCAAGAAGACCGTTGCCGGTGGTGCCTACACCGTCTCGTAAGTCGACCACACGTTCTCGCGCTTGTTCCCAGCCTTCTCGATCGCTCCTCCTTGGCAAAGGCCAGACTGGTGAAAGAAAAGCCTGGAGGATTTACCGTGACACGGATACTGACCGATGGGACTGTACTACAGGACACCCGCCGCCGCTGCCACCCGCTCGACCATCCGTCGTCTCAGAGAAATCGCGGAGGTTTAAATGTGATGATGGGATTCTCTTTCTGTTTAACGTCTGAATTAAAATCAAAATAAATTCAAAACCTGGAGAATCAGCAAGAGCACATTCTCGTAACGGATACCACTTCGATGTCGATAGCATACTTGCCTCATCGAATCAGACTTTTCAATAAAAGATTCCCACCTGACGATTTGGGTCCTCTCAACTTGTGCACCATGTGAAAACTTTTTCCATCACGTCACGTCCTACATGCAGAACGCTAGATTACATCTATGGTGATTCAGGAGCTCATTTGACTGGGAATGATCGATAAGTCTTCTGACTGCTCTAGCAGCGTTCATGAAGCAGGTGCGAGCAGAGTTCCTGCCCGTGTCTCCCCAGAATCATCCCAGAGTACTCCGTAGATGAATTCCCTATATCTTTTTCTGGCTAATTATGACAATCGACATTGATTGACCGCCAGATCAATTTGACTTTTTTTTTCGACCCAACCAGCTCAAAATCCTGGCAGGGAAGACCGGATTAGCGATAATCTGCCCTGAAATTAATCATTCAAGGCCAATTTCTTCGTTGAATATCAGGTAGGCTTTCACTACATAGGTAAATGAAGTCAACTTCACACTACAATGTCTTGAGGAATTAAAGGTTAGATATTACTTTGTTAGCTTTAATTCAGCTCTCTACCAACTCTCTAGCAGGGAAACTGTTGCACAACTAGACCAGCACGGCAAAGAGGGGGTTCTCCCATTCTGCTGAGCTGCAAGGGCAGACCATCCTCCAAGCGCCATTAATCACCGGCATGATAATGAGGAGTTTTTGCTTTGCTCTTAGCATTTGTCCTGCCTGCTGATTCGCCTGGTGGGCAGCCGGTCACGTTCCTGTCCAGGCTGTTTTGCGTTAGATCGGATTTTAGGTCCACCTTCAAAAGGCCGGCTGCTTTCTCCCCACATCACTCGACCTGCTCTCTCTCCCCTTCTCCTTCTACGCCTCTTCCCTTTGTTCTTTCCTGCTGGTTGCTCTTCATGCCTTCTCACAGCTTTCCTGCAGACAATTCTGGCACTTATTCTTCCGTTCATGGCCGACACTTGTATTGTGTGCTTAGGAGACCTTGGCGAAAGCGCCAGCGATCCTCTTGCCATCGCCGCCGAGGCCGTGCCAAGACCTGACCTTCAAGTAGAAGGCAAGTCAAGTGACGCTTCTACCAAAACAGGCGGCGTGGATGACAGTGAGGACGCAGGTCAAATCGCCCAGCTACTCCCTTGCGGTCATATTCTACACAATAATTGCCTAAAACCATGGGTCGAAAGGGCCAACAGTTGTCCTATATGTCGTCGCAGCTTCAACCTAGTGGAGCTGAGTGATCGACTCGGAGGTATGTCCTTTCACTTCCACCTCACCCCAACCTGAGGCTGTATCTTGACTCTTGGAGATTCGTGCTAACCTTCAGGGCTTTTCTGGCCTTTTCGCAGGTCCTGTCATCTCATCATATGCGGTAGAGGACCGAGTTCAAGTGGCCGATGTCGATCCCTCAATGGTCATCGATTATGTAGACGATGATTTGGCTGACTTTCAACCTTGTCTGATTTGTGGGGATGCGGACAACGAAGAGCTGCTCCTTCTTTGCGATGGCTGCGATGCTCCGTCACATACCTACTGCTTGGGGCTCGACGATGTGCCATCTGGACCCTGGTACTGTTCGCGGTGCCAAACCCAACGTGCCCGAGCATTGTCGCCCGACACCGCTAGATCTGTCAGGGCGCATGAAAGGCGATCTCGTCGCACGAGAGCACAGCAGCGCAGACTTCAAAGCAGGAATCAGATGAACTCTCTCCACTGGGCGCGAGTGTGGCAATCTGTTTGGGATCATTTGAACCTGGACCTGGACTTTCCATTCGACGATGATGGGGCTACTGAGCGTGCCCTCCAACAACAGCGCCGAGAGGAAGCCAATCAACGAGAGTTTCGAGCTTGGCAACGCCGGTTCGAGGTTGCTGAGCGGCAAGGCGGCAGCAACCGGTTTCGGGACACTGCTGCTCTTCTTGACATCGAGGCGCCACGGCCATCACGGCCTCGCGTCCCAAGAGAACCGACCCCTGAACCGGAATCTCTCGAAGAGATGAGGGCTTGGAATGCCTTTGAACGAGCTCGTGAAATTGAAAACAACCCGAGTGCAGCAAGAAAGCGCAAGGAACCAACACTATCCCCTTCACCGGAGCCTACCGAGCCGGAGCGGAAGCTCAAACGTCCACGGACCCGTCGGCCGCAAGAGCTAGCGGCTCTAGCCCTCCAAAACGGCGAGTCCTCAAGAGCTGCTGCGCAGGCTTCTGCTCGAATCAATGCTGAAGGTTCCAGCGAGCCCAGCTTCCTTCAGTCTCTCCTGAAAGAAGTAGAAGAGGCATCGAATCCCAGCGGTAGCAATTCGCATGGCCCATCTGCGCCGGTTTCGGTTGCTCCCACGGACCACAGCACTATCGGTCCATCCTCTCCCTCCATTTCGCCTGCTCCTTCCAATCACTCTTCCCCTCGACTTTCATCTACAACGCCTCCTCCATATCCGCGCAGCAGGCCCATCTCCCCCATACAACTTTCGTCGCCAACAGATCATTCGTCTCCTCCCTTCTCGCCGATTAACGACACCCGGGAAACAACACCATCGAACGTTGGGTCAAGCCGCCCACGTTCTCGAATTCCTAGGGCAGCACTACGGTTTTCAGCACGGTCAACTGAAACCTCGCCCACTCGCCCTGGTCTATCTCTGGCGGTCAAATCCGATATTCAAAAGCTGGTTGGAGGAGCACTCAAACCGTATTACCGTTCAAAGGTGGTCTCGAAGGACCAGTACACGGATATCAACCGTACTATTTCGCGAATGCTATACGAGCGAGCGGGAAATGCGCAGTCCCTAGACACCGAGGCCAAGAATAGCTTTGAAAAAATTGCCGCCGAGGAGGTTAAAAAGGCAATTGATGGTCTCCGAACGAAGGATGAAGACTCCCTTGCGGATAGTAGCTCTTAAGGACAGAGAAGATTCTTTGCAACTCCCGGCGTTTATGCAGCGATTGATTTTGTTCTGCGAGTTATAGCATACAGCTAGGCGTTCATCTCCTTCACAATCGGACTCGGCGCAGCGTCTTTGGATACCCGCTTAGGAATATGGGACATGTTGATGGTTCTACACTGGGGGACAGGATCTCTCACAATATCTTTCCAATGTATCTTCAGCGAGAGCATAGAGCATATTATGTCCTAATCGCTGGCTCATTCGATAGCTGGTACATATTTGACTGGACAAAATTCTTGACATATTGAGAGGTGTATTATTCAATTTACTCAAGGATAAAAGTCGCTCGACTCATCATCATGTGATTGCTTTCTGTTACTAGGAAGTATAGAGTATTAACTAGATAGAAACTCCGCCTGATGGAAAGAGAAGGTGAATATAATAAGTTCCAATCAAATCCATCATATGCTGAACCATTTATCTTCTCTCACCGCTGAAAATATTTTGTAATTTGTGAACAGTCCATGCTTTATGCATATTTAAGTCCATACTTCGTAGGGGATAGGATATCAGCGCGATACCCACTTCCCTCACCATCATACATAGATATTCGGGATATTCGCGGCTTCTTTGGGCATATGCGCATAATGGTCCACGACTTGCGATGAGTTGCACCGGTGATACAGAAGATCTGGACCTCGTTTGGAAAATGAAACAATTTACTCAGCACTCCATGTTATGCGCAAGACCAAATCTCATGGACAAAGCCATCCCAAGTGAATGAATTGGAGGAAATGGGAGCCTTAGTCATCAATATCATATCAAAGGAAAACACTGACCAAAGCTCTAGCTATGGAATCACACCAGCGGTCGTGCGAGAATATACACACTGACACGAGACTAGACTTTAATGCTGGACTAAGTCTGTGAGAAGAATGGACAAATTTAGCTGCCTATTATATGAGTCATATCGAAGATCCAGAGATGTCGGTCGAAATTTCTACGCATGGTCTTGTCTTTCTATCGATCGGAAGCGCAAGCATCAACATCTACCGAGCCGTCGGCGGCCCTATGGACCAGATCGCAACAAGTCCAGATCAAGCGGCTTAAGCCCGGGACAAGTGGATTTTGTTGATATATCTGTCCAATCACCATCTCTTAATGCACAAAGTATCTCGGTCGGTCGTTCGGTGGCACCGAAGAGCGAAGAGAGCGGGTCGTCGCGACGCTAAGCTTTGCTCCGTCGGGCATGAAAGGTCCATGGAAAACGGATTAAACGATTTGAAGATTTGCAAGCCACAAAAACCTTTCACACGTGGACGGAGTCGGAGTTAAGGGCTCACGTTTTCCCACCCTGCGATGACCTCATTTGATGTGATTATCAATCCAAAATACTCGGGGAGGTACCTGGAGACCAATCAATGATGGGCGAAAATCGTCCTTTTCCTTTTTTTTCTTCTTCAAATCTGTAAGTGGCAACGGGGTCACAGGGGGACTGTCCAGTATCAATCTCTCCTTTAGGCTTCAGCACTGAATTTTGTTCGGGATCTCGGCATCGGACATGATAACAGGACTACGGTCTCAGGCTAAGTACGAAGGATGGTGGGGAATTCTTCCATCTCTTACATACTAGTTTGCTATAGCGGCCATGGCTCTCTTATGTCCACTTCTCATGCTATCTCTAGAAGCCTGTTTGCTTTATCAGCTTTTTTCCGAAGGCCCACCTTGGGGACAAGATGGTTCCCTTAAAGGTCTGGACACGCCCTCCGCGGGAATTCAGGGACTCAGATATCAGATTCAGCGTGCTCTATTTATACTCTAAGAGTCTATACTCTACTGATCAGGCTTCTCTCCTGAATCTTGTCTGATCGTTTCCCTTATCTTTGGTGCTTTCAGGTCCATCAGACCGATCCTGTCATCTATTGGAGCAATACCTCACCTTTTTTTACCAGAAGCTTATATTCAGGGGGTGAGGGATAGAGCCAGGAATATTGAACCATCTATCGGACGGCAAGACTTAGGATGGCGACTGAAAAACAGAACTATCCAGTATACAACTCAAACGAGACAACTCCTCGCATCACCCAAGAGACCCTTTCAGTTCCTCAAACATCAGATCTGAACGCGAAGTCCAAAGATAGTATCGATATGGAAGACCGAGCGCCGGAGCCCGAGAGCTCCGATGCAAGAGACCCGGAGACGGAGGGCACAGATATTGAACGCGCAGACGGTCAACTGCCCGAGAAGACACCCGCAACAGATCCCAATTTGGTACAATGGGACGGCCCAGATGACCCCGAGCACCCGCAGAACATGCCACACTGGAAGAAATGGGTCTTGACGATGACTTTATCCTCGATGACCATGTGGATCACCTTCGCTAGCAGCGTCTTCTCAACTGCAACTACAGTGACGGCCAAGGAGTACCACGTATCAACTGAAGTCATGACTTTGGCTACCAGTCTGGTCGTCTTCGGATTCGCTCTTGGTCCCATCGTGTGGGCTCCCATGTCTGAGCTCTATGGACGCAGGCTGCCCCTGTTCTTGGGCTACGCCATCTTCGCAGTCTTCCAGATTCCCGTAGCTGTGGCACAAAATATCCAGACCATCATGGTATGTCGCTTCCTCATCGGTGTTTTCGGTTGCTCTCCTCTAGCGGTTGTCGGCGGCGCAATGGCCGACTTCTGGGACCCCGTCGACCGTGCTGTGGCTATTGCCTTGTTCTCGGCGGCCACCTTCGTTGGTCCTACGCTTGGCCCTATCATCGGTGGATTTATCACGGAGTCGTATCTCGGCTGGCGCTGGACTGCATGGATCACGCTGATTGCGTCTGCGTCATTCGGCACTCTGGCCTTCTTCATTGTCCCTGAGACCTACGGTCCTGTCATCCTTCAGAGACGCGCAGCTCGCCTTCGCCGCGAGACGGGCAACTGGGCACTGCACAGCCTACTCGACGAAAGTCGCCCTACCGCTTCCGAGATCGTCAACAAATACCTACTGCGCCCTATTCAAATGCTTTTCCTCGAGCCAATCCTGCTGCTCATCACGATCTACCTGGCACTGGTTTACGGAATTCTGTACCTTTTCTTCGAGGCGTACCCCGTTTCGTTCCAAGAGGTTCGCGGCTGGACCAACGGAGGCATTGCCGGCCTTCCCTTTATCGGGATCTTGGTTGGAGTGGTCTGTGGCGTGGCATTGATCGTCTGGCAAACCAAGACTCGGTTTGCGCTTAAGCTGGCGAAACACGGCCGCGTTGTCCCGGAGGAGCGTCTGGTTCCCATGATGATCGCATCCGTGCTTCTGCCGGCCGGTCTCTTCTGGTTCGGCTGGACCTCGAGCCCTCATATTTCGTGGGTGCCTCAGGTCATTGCAGGAGTTCCTATCGGCATGGGCATCTTGGTCATCTTCATGCAGGGTCTCAACTACATCATCGATGTGTACATGATGTTCGCCAATTCGGCCATCGCTGCCAATACTCTGGTTCGAAGCAGTCTCGGTGGTGCCTTCCCGCTCTTTGCTGTGCAGATGTACAATAAGCTCGGCGTGAATTGGGCCTCGAGTCTGCTTGGTTTCATCACGGTTGCGATGATCCCGGTTCCCATCGTCTTCTATATCTATGGCAAGAAGATCCGGGCTATGAGCAAGTTTTCGCCCAAGCTCTGATCATCATCGGTCTCTTGCTTTATATACCCCCGTTTGCTTTTTCATGTCAGCAAAAAATAGACGTGGTTGTCTCCCGTCATCAGCCAGGCGTTGTTTATGGGCACTTGCATTTGTATTTGGTTGGAGGGACGATTATGTCGATTATGCATGATACATTTTAGCGCTCAAAAGCTGTCAGATAGACAGCGATTCTAAGTTATATAATTAATTTGACCACATACACAAATTGTTAAAAAAAGGTGTAGTCCATGTCACGGATTTGATAGACATTTCATGTAGAGAAGTGGGTAGCAGAGGCAGCAAGAACAGGCGAGACTCCATTAAGATCAACCTCTAGGTTGTGAGCGAAATCAAAATCGAAGTCATCGATATTGAAACATCAAAATGTGTGATTTTGATATTGACATACTACTGTGACTTCGCCAAAATCAAGGGTGAGAAAAAGGCAAAGCAAAAACACGCTATTATTATTGAGCGACGCGTCCTGGGCCGGCGTCTTTAGGGCGGTGACAGTCGAAACCGCCGTCGATCTTTCGAAACGGACAGACGGGCCCTCGAGAATCGACCGCTTGTCCCTCGTCCAGCCTGTCGCCAACCATCTCTTTCCCTTTCCATCTCCGTCGCTTATTTTACTTACTCGGGGGCCGAATTCTTGTTCATTAGATCTATTTTTTAACCCTCATCTCTCCCATTCCAGCGCATGGTGTGCTGAAGCTTACGCCCTGAAACCGGCTTCCCCGCGCTTCGTCCACGATGCCCGCGCGCACTCGTCAAGGTCCCTCCGCCGTCACGGAGGTCGTGGAGCCCGAAGAGACGTCTGGCGGCCTTCGCAGTCTCAAATTCAATCAACCGCTTTCATGGCGCGTGGGGAGGGCCATCCCCATTGCCGATCTACTTCAACGTCTACAGACGCTCGCGCAGGAGCTTCGCAAACTCGAACAGGAGGAGATTGATAAGGAATCGCTGCGAAAGGTCTCCCAGGAATTGGCGACAGCGAATCTGCTGGCTCATAAGGATAAAGGGGTTCGAGCTTGGACGGCTTGCTGCATTGTTGATGTCTTGCGTCTTTGCGCGCCTGACGCGCCGTTTACGGGGAATCAGCTCAAGGTTCGTTTTGAATCGAGTTTTGTATTGGCGTCTTCGCCTTGCAGGGCCCCACGAAGACGCTCTCTGGACGGTTTGGGCTTTGCTCTAACCATTGTGATCATTAGGACATTTTCACTTGCTTCGTGACCTCCATCATCCCCGCTCTCGGGGATCCATCCAATACCTATAATGCTCAACACATCTACGTACTCAACTCCCTGGCGGAAGTGAAGAGTATCGTGCTCATGACTGATCTGGATCAACCG